CATTTCACATGATCTGAGATTAAGTTCTGACCATGTGACTGCAGATAATCTGCAGGAGATGAAAATAGGAAGGCAAAAAACCGACAGGAGAAATAATGCTTGCTAACAGAAAAAGAACCTGCAACACTCAGGCGTTCTGGCCAGTTATGAAGAATGCTGAAAATTTTAGTTCAGCAATATCTAGAAACCAAAGGCTTCCAACTTTAGACTTTGTGTGGGGTCATCTTAGTTTTTGAGTTGAGTTGGCTTGATAGCTTTCCTTGGGTGAGCTTAATTTATTATGGTAAATCAAATTTGCTGTAGTCTTTTTCATCAGGCTTGTTTTCCAGTTCAGCTGATAACATGTTAAATAAATCTGTCAAACAGCTGAAGTTAGAATTCAGATTTTAGACGAAGACATACAAAAGAAGACCAGTAACAGTTACCCATTGTAGAAATTAACAATAATAAGAATTTTCCAGCTTTGATAATGCAACAACTAACTCTGTGGCAGAGACATATAATGCGTTGTCCCAAAATAACATTTGCAGCCTTAAAACTCTGGGTTCATTTTTCAAAGCTTCTCCAAAAATTGTAACCACCTGTAATTCATTATGTGATAAAAGTGGAGATTATTAATTATGCTGGGAATAATCCTATTCCCATAACTAAAAAGACTTGATTTGGTCCACTTTGGCACAGCATTAAACCACAATAGTGCTTCTTAAAAAGACTAAGTACCCTTGTTATAATGAATGAGAAATCCTGGTTTAAAATCTATGAAATGTTATGAAATCAAATAGTTAATTACTTTTAATTAAACTGTTAGTCTGTCTTTTGCCTTATTCTTTTGCCTGATTTGCTATTCTTGCTGAATTATATTGATTTGGGGATGGGTAATCTAATTTCTTGGGTGAGTGATATATGATTGCTATTAAAATAGACATTAGATCTATGCCTACTTATTGTTTAGTTTGTAATCTTGTTTCTCCTCAGAGCAGCCAAAGTATTGTAAGCATTTACTCAGCTTTCAACATAATGCGCTACAATGAATCTTCTGCTTACTGAAAAAGTGTGAAACAAAAGTATCTGTTAGTTGTCAAACAAAGTTCCTTTTTAAAAACAAAGTCTGCTGTTTGCTTATAAAGATTATTTTTATAATAAAGTGGAATAATTTTTTTTTTTTACAAATTTTAAACTAGGCAACCTGAATTCTGCAGAAATTCTGACATTTGCATTTTGTTTTCAATATGTGTAATTCATTTTTCCTGCTCAAGTCATTGAGCAATATAACTGACTGTGCTGCATATTAAAACCCTGACATTAGGAAAAGCAACTGAATTTCCTTCTGGTAAAACCTCCCAGGCATTTCAATAAATGTTTTTTTTAACATGCAGGTTTTAAAAAGTAAAATAATGAATCGTCACCTATTTTGCCCTTAAACAGAATTTTGGAGCAAATATAGTGGTAATCTTTTGATTGGGAGCAAGTAAATTATTTTTCTCTTTCTCATTCTCTTTAATCTTAAATGTTTGTGAGTATGTGAGTGTTTTGAATTGTACTAAATTGTAATGGTAACCCTATGAGCCAGAATACCTAGAATTTTGATTCCTTATACTTTCCATAAATTCTTCTTTCTGGATAGATTTGTGAAGGAATGAGGGACTTACGAATCTTTTATTTCAAGAGTCTCACCCCTGGTCCACAGACTGCAACTGGCCAATGGCCTGTTCTCTATGCCTCTATCTTGCTTTGCCTGGCACAAAAGTTAATCCAGTGGGGGAAATCGTCTTTTGTTTTCTCCTGCTGAATTTGAAGGGGGTGAACTCTGCACTTTCCTGCATTTGGAGGGTCCAAAGTCAATGGAACATTTTGAGGGAATGGACCACAATTATGATGACCTTGCACAAATGAACTACTTGTTTGTCTGCTCAGCTTCAGAAAGAGCCTGGCAAAGGGCAGAAAGGAGTGACAGATTTAGTCAGGATTATAAAACTATCAATCAGGAGAAGAGAAGATAAAATGCTCGGGAGAGAGAAGGGGATTAATTTTATTTTTATTTCTCTGTGAACTTAAATTCCAAACAGGCAGTGATTTTATGGAGGACTACAATTAGGGAGGGAGTTTCTGGACAATAGTTTATGACCCCCCCCCTTTCTTGATGGAAAAGGTTCCAGGTGGAGGGGAACATTCAGGAAGAGAAACATTCCAACATGGAGTTTTTTCCTGCTTCCTTGGCACTACTGCGTATAACATTCCTTGAGTGTTATATCCATGACAGAAGCAGAAGCCTATGTCCTGCGGTGGTTTTGATTCTGGTCTCATCTGAGTGAGAACCTTGACTCTAGAGGGTATTCCTTCAAATATCAGAGGAAAAACCACATTGTTGAATGCTGTTTCTGTGTTTGGGGATCTGGGGTGGTTTGGATAAAGATTTAGTCTCACTATCTGGGCCACATAATTTTCTCTTTGTGTAATAGTTCGTAGAATAACAGAGTAGGAAGGGATCTTGGAGGTCATCTAGTCCAACCCCCTGCGTGAGCAGGAGAGTTCATTTGTGCACTGTCTCCACAAGCAGGTAAATCTTTCATTATGTAATCTGAAATGTGAAATGATGTGCCCATAAACATGCTTTTTCTTCTTTTTAAAGGGAAAGTAAAATGGTTTTGGAGCACATATTACTATTCTGAATATATTGCTGTATCCCCCTTCCCTCATATTTAGTTCCTGAAGAGGATGTATACAGATTGAACTCTACAATTTGGATGTCCATTATAAGAGGTTAGCTTAAATTTCCCCATCTCTTTACAATTTAGTAATACAACAAGGTTAGATGTGAAAAGTCCATTTCTTTCTTACACAACAGCTGTAGATTTAATTGGAGGCTAATTAATCCGACCCAATACCCAATTCCCAATACCCAATTCAGAATATACAAACCGAGAACTAACCCACTAGCTTTGTTTAAATTATTTCAAGTTACCTGCTATTCTCTAAGACTGCCCCCACCACACAGACAAGTCAGTCACCGGAATATAAACTGACAGCAAACCACACTCCTTCCTAGCACTGATGTCGTTACCTAGTTTGGGTAATGAAAGCTCAAAGAATACCAAGGACCTCTCATGTCAACTCTGAGCTACAAATATTCTCCTTTACTTTTACCTGCTATTTACCATTATCCTTTTTATTGAAGACAGTTCTTGTTTGACCACAGCCCAAGATTCGTCCATCTAATACATCTGTCAACAATAAAATCTTAATATATTTACAGTATTCTGACTTCTGGGCATGGAAAAGACACTGTTACTATGTTTTAGGTATTTTTCTCTGCTTGTAATCAGAAGCTCTATACTTCTGCTAGAGTTCAAAACTTATATTTTAAGAGTGAAATACTGTGCAACTATAATAATATTTACAACATAAAGAAGTATGTTCCTGATATGGCCCTTAATATCAGATCTGGGACTTATGTGAATTCCTTTTTCCCTTCAGTGCCCCCTCTCACCCTCACCCTTGCATGAGTGAAATCTTTCCTTTTAGAAACTATTTCAATCCTAAAATCATGAGAATATCTGATTTTCTGTGTAAAAAAGCAAAGCTTCTTAAACTTAAAACTCCATTCTTGGGGAAAAATAATCGGACAGAATGTAATGGCTTCTTATAATTTTTTTAGAGGTAATTTTTCTTTTTTTAAAAAAATACCTGCCAACTAACAGGTGAAGTTTGTTCTATCAAGTGGAGTTTGGTTTTACTGCTTTGGCTCATCAGTGATACCACATGGATTCAAAAAAAAATTCTGTGAATCAAACAAAAATACAGAACATGTTATACCTCCAGGCAGAGTTGTGAATCATTTGATTGGTTATCCAAAGAAAACACTTCAGAATAAGATTTAGAAATAGAAGACATTTCTTTTGACTTTGATTCTTCAATCTATGTTAAATTCCATCTCTGAATTTAAGGGGCAGGACCTTTATCCTTTCTTCATTGGAATGTGTGTGCCTTGCAAGTTTCCCACAAAATGAGCAAGTTACATTTTATTAGACTAAACTACAAGTTACTTAAAAACGGAGCTGAAACTACAAAGGAAAGAATGAGTCAGATGGACAGGGGTGTCACTGCTCAAAACAAATTTATTTTTCAACATATTTAGAAATCTCTCTTAAAAATACTGCTCTTCTCTTAAAAAAAAACTAATTATTAAAAGCAAAATAAACAAAGCTTCTTGGTGGATCTACCTATAATTAAAAGGCAGGTTTCAAACCTGCATTAGGAAGAATATAATATCAGACTCATGATGTTTTAAAGAGGTCTAGAAAAAAAAAGATAATTGGCACTGCTGGAAGCACCCTTTCATTTCCAAGGTCACCTTTTCTTTGGCTAAAAATTAAAATGAAACAAAATCAATTCTGATAAGTTTTACTGTAATTGTGTTGTCCTTTTCAAAAAAGTTCTTGCATCATTTGTGGTTATTGTCCTATTAATTTAAACCATAGGCTTAGAAAAATATAGCATCTGTACTATTCACAATAGATGGAAGTGCTAAACTGACTCTAACTGACCTCAACAGGAGTTGGACCAAGTTAAAATTATATTTGGATGGGAGACTATCAGGAAATCCCAAGTTTGCAGATTAGACTGGGACCTCCCGCCCCCACCCCCAAAAAACAACCCCAAACGTGGCAATGGCAATTGGTTTCCATCAACTACCAAAAACCACATGAAACTCCAGGAAATGAGCTTGATTTGAGAGCATCTATTTTCATTTCTTTTCCTCACCGGCTGTCAACAGGTTCTCTTCAGAGATACAGGTCACTCCAGACAGCTGAGCTTCTGGCATATATACTCTTCTCCTACTCAGGGAGTAGGAAAGAGTGCTCTGTACATACCAAGAAGTTCTTTCTTTCTTTCTTTCTTTCTTTCTTTCTTTCTTTCTTTCTTTCTTTCTTTCTTTCTTTCTTTCTATCCTGCCTTTATTATTTTTGTAAATAAGGCAATGAACCTTGGTGGGATTCAAATAATTTAACAACTGGTTCTCTGCCCTAATGATTTCTTCCAACAACCAGTTCACCAAACTTCTCAGAAACTTAACAACCAGTTCTCCTGAACTGGTGCGAACTGGCTGAATCCCACCACTGCAATGAACACACCTACTACCTTCTCCTCCTATTTCCCTCACAACAGCCCTGTGAAGTGAGTTGGGCTGACTACCCAGAGTCACCCATCTGGCTTTCATGCTTAAGGCAGAACTAGAACTCACATTCCCCTGGTTTCTACCCTGGTGTCTTTACCACTAGACTAGACTATATTTTAAAGGGATCGTGACAGCAAATGGTTAAAGCAGGTTTCACAAGAGTTAATCTTTTTATTTACTGATACCACTGCAGTTCAGTACATGTAAAAGTTCCTGCATGACAAATTTAATTACAGGTTCTTGCTGCAACAGTTCTGTAGCATACAGAATCTTTGTGCTATACTGTAGAAGCCAGCTTGCAAATAGACTAAAGGAACAGTTTGGATGTATGGTGTGGAAGCAAGGGAAACAAGAGTTATAGACTTTTTTATTTGCTTGCATAGCAACTCTGAGACAGTGAGTTGCTCTAAATCACATGGTTTGTCCATTCATCTAAGCAGGAACTTGACATTTGAGCCCCCACTCTAACATCTGCTATTACGAAAGTTTGTCAGAATGTGTACTGCCAGTAACAGGACCAACTCTTCTGGGTAAATAGATAGACAGATACAAACAAATCCTTTATCTCTCAGCATATTCATTTATAGAGAAAATACAGGCACAATTAAATAGCATACATGTCCCTGTCAGATAACAGAATGCAGGCTGTTCCATGTGGTTTCCTGACTTAAAAACTGTAGATGTACTTCCTTAAAAATATTTTTTTAAAAGTTGGGTTGTATGTAGAGAGTGTATGGACAGCTACTGCTGTGTGAACTGAAAAATGTGGAAGATGAAACAGGGATAATCAGCATGAACTGGTAAATGGGGGTGTTGCTTCTTCCCATCTTCCTCTGAATGGGGAACTGGCTAGATCGCTGTTTGAGTAAGTAATGTTTGACAGAGTGTACTGAGAGCAAAGGACTTCTGGATGTATGTCATGGTTGAAGGCTGCAAGGAACATATGCCTAAAGTCTCTGGATTATGACAGTACAGTATATTGTTTGAAAGGGTACAGAAGATTTTATAGGATTGTAAGATTTATGATCCTATAAGAACAGATGACAAATTATTTTACTTATTTAAAAATCTTAATCACCTAATAGCGAAAGGTCCCTGGACACTTTGCAATAAAACACACTGAACAATACATTTTGAATAAAAATATCTACAATAATATCAAATAAAATGGAAAATGGAATATCATATAGACTAGATAGAAGCAAGACAGTATCATCTAAAAGCATGGGAATTAAAAATAATTAAACTACAGTTAAAAGGCAATTAAAAACCCTGGGGAAATAGGTCTTCAACTGGTACTTATCAGCTCCATTAAATAGACCAGACAATGAAATCAACTTCCCAGTGTGTCTACAACTATTTTTATTGAGACTTGTTAGAATAACAATGACATACAACTCTGATTTTTCTGTACCTCCCTCTAGCTTAGTGTATTAGGGTGGTGTCTATCTCAGCTGTTTCTGAATGTTACATGGATGTTCTGGATTTTAAAAATACCTTAGCCCACCTTACTTGGGTCTGCTGATTTATTTATTTTTATTCATTTATTTTATTTTGTCAAGCGATTATAAGATTTTCCTCAAGATCATTTTCCTTATTCTCTAGACTAGAATGAGACCAATGCTGGCATTAGGCAAAATACTCCTGCATCCTTATTATTGTTGTGTCAGTTGAATCTTTGTTTCTTTTTGGAGCAATTTTCTTTCCTGTTGATATCTTCTTTACTGAAAGTAAGCTTTCTTTGCACAGTGTAAATTTAAATGTTGCTAAAGAAAATGCTCTATGATGATTGGCATCAGATAATTATCTTACAAGTCTTACCTTTCTTTCTAGAATCATAGGAATGTTTTGTACAACTTGATAGACAATAGCTAGGCTGAATATTGTGTAAGGCATAGTATGGAATCATGATTTATTACAGTGGTGGGCAACCTGTAGCCATTGGGGCATATGCCCAGCATGGCCAGAATTTAGTGGTAAACTGATCTAATATTAGCATTGCAATATTTTGTGCTTTTGTTTCAAAATTAATGGGAGGATTGGGAGCAGGGGGATTTCAGGACAGCAAAGTACTCCCATTTACTTAACACCATGAAAAATAGCTATCATTTTAATAAAATGCATAATTAAATTTGGTTTTTAGGAAACTACAGATAGTAAACTGCAACTGTCATACCAGGAATTCACAGTAATGACAACTTTATTCCACCCAGTGTGTTATGGATGGCTTTGAGAGGTGATAAATGCCAAAATTAATGTTAACTCTCAGGAAAGTTCATGAGTAAAAGTATGGATTAAAACTCATTATCCTTTTCAGGAAGTTCTTGTTTTAACCAACTGTGGCACATGTGTCATAACACTTGAAACTGTTGGGAATTTCCATATAAATGTGGTTAGGTTTGTAACTGTAAGCATGAAGATGCAGCCAGCAGTTGTTTGTGCACATCAACAGCAAATTTGTACACAAGCAAAAGAATAAAGGAACCTCTAGGTGAAGGATGCTTTTTGATCCAAAACTTTTCAGAAGCCTTCTTTGAGGAAAACTTTTGGATGGTAGTTGTCAGCTTGATGCGTAAATGGTTAGCTTTGTGTTTCCTCTCTCTTAGAGTATGGATCCTGGTTCTGCCTGCTATCTCCCTTAAACAGAATAGGATCAAATGGCTGTGTGGGAAGAACCCAGCTTTAGAAAATTTGAGTTTGAAAATGGATCTCTGCAGAAGAAAAAATTCCCCCAATTTTCCTCAATGCATCCCTATGGAAGAGGCAGTTAGGCAGTAACTTAGCATGTTGCTGACTGTTCCAGTCTAAGACATCCCATCTAAGACATTTCCCATCAGATGACCTGGAGGTGCACATATGCAGTCTACCTGTGCTTCCCAGTATACATCAATAAATGAAATCACAACATGTCATTTCGTTATTCAGAAGAAAATAGAAACATTCCCACTGCTGGATCTTGACAGACTAGAAAATTGGGTTGTATCTAACAAAATGAAATTCAATGTAGAAAAAAGTAAAGTCCTACACAGGCAAGAAAAACCAAAAGTACACATATAGACTGTGTGAAACTAGGC